GTAAAATAGCTAAAGTCTTGCAATTGGCTGGTAAAACACCAGCAAATGCTGCTTTAAATGATTTTATACAGGAAGAGGCCAAAGCTTCTACTAGTTCAAAGGTTCAGGTAACTAAGGAAGAAGTAAAACAAGATGAAACTAAAGAAAGCAAAGAATCCTCTGAGGAAATTGTTTGCAAGGATGGCGTCTGCTATAAGAAATCCAAGGAAATGGAACATAAAGACGAAGAAAAAGAAGCTGTAGTAGTGGAGGAAGAGAAAGCGCAAACAAATACCTTGGAAGAAGATAAATTGGCTGAAACACGCAAATATTTGGAACAAAAAAGACGTGAACGTATAGAAGAGGAAAAGAGATTGGAAAAAGAACGTGAATTACGACGCCGCAAGGAAGGTAAAGAAATGCAAAACTTAAGAGCCTGGCAAAAGGATCAAGAACTTAAGGAATTAAAAGAAAATATAAAACGTGAAAAACTAGAAGAACAGGCAGCAAGAGAACGTATAAGAGCACAAATTGCTGCCGATAAAGCTGAAAGAGCACATAAATTTGCTGCTGAAAATCAAGCCTCGACATCTCAACAAGCGTCAACTAATTCCACAACTAAAACTACTAACTCTTCGACCGCCTCAGCAACGGATGAGTCACGTTTACAGTTCCGCTTGTCCAGTGGTGTCAGCAATAGTCATAATTTTAAATGTGCCACTACTTTGGCCGAAATACGTGATTATGTCACACGTGAACTATTACCGGGAACCGGTATTAAAGAATTCACTTTGGCCACCACCTATCCTAAGCGGGAATTGACTAATGAACATAATACTAAAACTCTCATGGAACTTGAACTCTTTCCCAGTGCCGTCATTTTAATAATAGGCAAAGAAGCCACTGGCCCCACGGCCATTATATCACGAAATGGTGGTTTATTGAATATGATGTCGGTTATGATTATGGCCATATTGAATCCTATATTTTCAATATTCACCTCAGCCAAAAATTGGCTAACCGGCAAGCGTAATGACAGTACAACAACAGCACAAACAGGAGCACAAAAAAGGGCCGGTGAGGAGCAAAATGATGTGTAAGTAGCAAAAAGAAATTGTAGAAATATTAAATGATAATTTCATTTTAATACACAGCTCCAAACGTCGTAATCTAGATAGATTTTTAGCGGGAGGCGGTTCAGGCAACACCACCGGTAGTAGCAATCAGGAACAGGGAGGTGATTCATCACCTAGCACTAGCCAAGGGGGTGCTTATCGTCGTTATGTTGGTGGCTCGAACATTCATCGTCTATCGGATAATCGCAAAGATTCCGATGATGAGAATGCCACCTGGAATGGCAATTCCACACAGCAACAATAAAACTATATTGCCTTTTAATTGTCATTGAAGGAAAGAACAGAGTTCTTGTGGTTTTCGTAGGTATATTTCTTAGTATATTAATAAAACAGTCTTATATATGAATGTATGTATGTATTTCATTTATTCTAAATATTTTTTTTTAATAATTTCTCTCTTTAAAATTGAATGTGAAATTTTGTTATTTTTTAATTTATGTTAAAATGGGTTTAAAAATTAAAATGTATATTTTAATAAGAACATCTTTTAATTTGTAAAGTATAACTAACATACAATACAATGAGAATAATAAAAATTAGTAATAAAAATATATAAAATCGAAAACTGTTAAAAAAATGGAAGTTTATTTTTTGTAGCAAAAAATTTTAAATATTTTTTTAAAATTTATTTAAACACCATTTTACTTAAAACTAATATTTTTACAAAAACCGTAATCGAACCTACCAACTCCGGTCTACCAGACTAGAGCACTAACATACCGGAGGCCACTTCTTATCAATCTTAACAAAAAAAAAAAACAACTAATTCGACAAAAGTGGTATTTCCACAAAAATCAAGTTTTTTTCCGATATTTCCATCAAAAACATAATTTTACCAAAAACCAGTATTTTTTTTGCCAAAACCAGTATCATGTATAAAAATAAGTTTTTTGCTAGAAACTAGTTTTTTACAAAAAGGATCTATCAAAAAAACATTATTTTACAATATTTGATTAAAAAACGGTATTTTTCCAAAAACCATATTTTAAAAACCAGTTTAAAAAAACAAAATTTTTGCCAACAACCAGCATTTAACAAAAACTAATACTTTTATAAAAAAAAGGCGTATAAGCAGTATGTATTTTTATAAAATAACAGCATTTTAAACGAATGCAGCTTTTTCTACCTTTAACAGCAATATAACCAAAAAAACATTTTTTTTTACAAAAAACACTATCTTTTATCAAAAACCGGTATTTCCACCAAAAAACTGTATTTTTATAAAAACCTATATTTTCACTAAAACCAGTATTTTTACAAAAAACGGTATTTGCACCAAAAATCTGTATTTTCACCAAAAACCAATATTTTTACAAAAACCACCAAAAACCATTATTTAGATCCAAAACACTGTTTTAGCGAATAACCAATGATTTAACCAAAAACTGTTTTTCCAAAACATTTTTTTACAAAAAACACTATCTTTTATCAAAAACCGGTATTTCCACCAAAAACCAATATTTTTACAAAAACCTGTATTTTCACAAAAAACAGTATTTTGATCCAAAACAATATTTTAGCGAATAACCAATGTTTTAACCAGAAACCCGTTTTTTCCAAAAATAACAAACATCAGAATTTTCATTAAAAAACATTTTTTTTTTTACAAAAAACTCTATTTTTTATCATAATTGGTATTACCACCAAAACAATATTTTTATAAAAACCTGTATTTCCTCCAAAAACTAGTATTTTTACAAAAACCGGTATTTCCACCAAAAACCAGTATTTTGATCCATCCAAAACAGTATTTTAGCGAATAAAAACTGTTATTTTTTTTCAAAAACTAACTTTTATGGAAATTTAATATTTTCACCAAAAACAGTATTTTTAACAAAACAGCATTATTTAAAAAATATACATCAAAAATTTTCTGTAAAAAAGTAGTATTTCTTTCTCTCAAATTTTCAACAAAATTTATTGTTTGTTTTCAGAAATAATTTTTTGAATAAAACCAGTATTTTCTTGAAAAAATGTTCAATACAACCAGAAATTTCATCAAAAATTCTCAGCATTTCTTATCAAAATCCTGTATTTTTTATACCCTAAACCTATACCCTAAAGTGGGGGAGGGTATTATGCGTTTGTGCTGATGTTTAAAACACCCAAAAATATTGGCCCTACACCCACCTTAAAGTATACCAATCGGCTCAGAATCACTAAAATTGGTCCATTATTTCGTATAGCACCCATTCAACCGTTCCCCCCGAAGAGGGCTTTTGAGCTCATAAATATGTTAAATGTTTTTGTATCACTTCAAAAATCGGCAAAACTTAGTGTTATAAATATAAGTCTTAATAATACTGCTGATTTTCGTAATGATCGGGCCTCATTTGATCCTATTTCCCATACAAAGTCCCCATCAGAAAATGACTTGATGGTCAAAATTCACTTATAAACACTAATGTCATGATGATATTCTGCATAAATAACTAATCTAACCTAATCTAATCCCTCTACCAAAATGTATCAGGATGGGACCATATTAACCCCCTGCCCCTAAATAAACCCTCATTTAGAAAATCCCTTTTTTGTCAACAAAAAATTTCTGAATTAAGGTAAAAATTAAATTAAATACTTTATTATAAAAAAAATAATAATCAACATTTGTAACATAATTACAGTTGTAGGATATCATATACCATGACCGACCTGAATTTACTTAAATTAATTCAACTTTTTACCAATAACCAAAAATAAGCGAGTTTTTATTTTAAACTAGTGCTTTTTTCAACCCTTAACCTTCTTTATACTACCGTGGGCATTAACTAAAATACTACTAATTTATACAACTCTGCACATTAACTGCATTGAAATTGCTCAGCGTTATCAACTTAGTGCTTTTGGCATTGTTTTTAGTGTTTTTCAAAACGTAAAGATTGTGAATTATTTTCAAATAATTATCTTAATCCGAATAACATAAATTACTCCAAGCTGTACTCACACATTCCAGTTTGGTGTAAAACCAATTAAACTGTGGTATACCAAAATAAATGTAGGGAATTTCATATGCCAATTCTATTTCGTTAGTGTCAATAGTGTCAAAACTTTCAGTTTTTTCGTGATTTGGAAATTTTGGATTTCTGTTTTTATAGCAAAATTTAATATTGATTAAAAAAGTGTCCGATTATTAGTCGTTTATACTATTTTCAATAACACCTTATTTTCTTTATGTTCTAAATTAGCCATGAGACATATTATAGAATCGACCAAGGGTGTTATTAAAAGTTCCAAAATTACTTTTCCATAATGTAAAGTGTAACTATTACCAACGTTTATATTGCTACTTAATTTATAACAAATTCTATTTTCTACTTCTTGGATAAACAAAAATATTTTCTTTAAAAATTGTAATTGGTGTTTTTCTTACATTTTAAAGTTGACCACACTGTTTGTAGAAAACATGCTGTTTTTTGTGTTACTAAATTTTCACTCAATTTAGTTTGCGTTTGAGTTTCGTACGTGATTGACGAACGTATGGCTGATTTGTTATAAACGGAAAGAATAGAAATACAAAAAAAAAAAAGAATCTTTGTTACAAATTATATTTTAAACAGAACTATTACACAAAAAAGAAGTTCATTAACAAACAACAACAACAAGAAAGAATATAACAAAAAGCAAAGAAAAGTTAATTTCACAAATTAAAAAGTAAATAAAATGTTTAGTGTTAAAACTAAACTTTAATTCAACCATATTTATTAAACAACAACAACAAGCAAATCAGTCGTCGTCATTTTAAACACAATAAAAAAAGAATCCGTAGTACGCGTTTACAAAAACAACAACAAAAAAGTTATTAAATTTAGCAAAAGCAAAAAAAAGTATGAAAAAAGTGTTTGTGTTTGTTTAGTTGTAAAAATTAAGAAAAAAATTTAATAAAATAATAGAGTTTATTAAAATATTAAAAAATTTAATTAAAAGTAAATCTTCTTCTCTGTGTAATTTGTGTGTGTGTGTGTCTTCTAAGTGTAGAAAATTTCTTAAAAAAAAGTGTTTTTTTTTTTCGTTCTCTCAAATCAGCAGCAGCACTTTAAGCTTCTTTTAACAAATTTTTATGGGGAAATTATTACAATAAAAGTAATAAATTCAGCAAATTAAAGAAATTTTGTTGTTATTTTTAAGAAAACAAGAAAAACAAATTTACTGTTATAAGATTTTTACAGTATTAACAACAACAACAACAAAACAAAATCTAGCAACAAAACATCACTGTAAATAAATTTTAAAATAAAATTGCTAAAATATTAAATAAATAATAACAATAAAAAGAAAAAAAGTTTTAACTTCATAAAAAAAACAAGAGAAAAAAATATTTAGTGTTACACTAAATAGCGTCTAGTTTGGTTTTCTTTATCATTTATTTAACTCAAATTCTCCCACAGTGTGTGTGCGTGTGTGTTTGTCTCTTTTACTCCCTAATAATAATAACAACAACACACAGCCTTATTACAATAGCACTCAATTAAAAAAGAAAAAAACAAAGAGCACATATATTTTACAACAACACTCAGCTGCTAAACAACATTTAACAACGAGTCTTTGTCCATTTGTAGTGAGAGTGAGTAAGCGAGAGCGAGTGCTTCCCCAACCGGCATTTTTTTGTGTTTTTCTTTTATAAAGTAACTTACAAAAACGCTAAAGTAAACAAAATAAATATTAAAAAAAACAACCTAATCAAAATAATTGTTAATAAAAATTGCTAATTAATATCACAAATCAATTAATTGCTAAAAAAAAAACCTCTACAAAAAAACCAAGAGAGTAAGAAAGTTAGCAAAGCAAATAAGTTTGTTTACCTTAATGTTTTCGTTTTCTTCTTTTCCATTTTATTTTATGCATTTCTTTTTTTTTGCCTTAAACAAGTGTTAAAATAAATATATAATTAAATAAATTCATAAATTTGCCAGCAAAAATTATTAAATATAAATAAAGGTAAGTTTTGTTTTCTAAAAAAAATAAGTTTTTTTTTTGTTGTCTGCCTAAAATTTTGTCAAGTATAAGAGTGTGTGTGTTTTTTTTTTCTTTTTCATTTTTGTTGTTAGTATTTTATTTTCGTTTTTTGTTGTAATTTTACTACCCCTTTTGTACTTGTAAATTCGGCAAAATTTTCTGAGTAGATTTTTTTGCGTTTTTGTCTCTTTGTGTATTTATTGTTGTTTTTTTTCGGTATTTTCATTTACATGGTCCCTTTTGCGATGGCAAAATGTAATGTAAAGTTACAGTAATGTTAACATTTATTTGTTTGATTTTATAATTGAATTATAGGAAATTTTTATTGGTCATACGCCCACCTTAAAGTATACCAATCGGTTTAGAATAATTTTCTGAGTCAATTACATCATGTCTGTCCGTTTGTCTATGTAAACCTTGTAATCATCATACTTTTGCCTTAAGAACGAACCTCTTAATAAACCACTTCGTGAAATTTGGAATTCTTAGAACTAATGATATCGTTTTTACTTCTAAAGCCCGTTCTCTGGCACAATAATATAATTCTTAAGTATGCACTTTTAAAGAGCTTCCTAAGAACCAGTGATTGCCTGATAAAGTTTTTTTTATTTCTATCCGGGCTAAGCTTTGTCTGTCCGGGTTCTTTAGAGCTCTACTTCTGTTGAAGTCTATTATATTACAGAGTTGCATTTCGAGGGAAAATAATCTGGCATGATTCGAAAGACATTCTAAGGAACCAGCAATAAAAATTTGATGCAATTTTTGTTTCCATCAGGGATATTCTTTATTTCTTTAGGTTTTTTAGAAGTCTGTTTCCTTTGAAATCTAAAATATTGTGTTATCTCCTTCCAATTAGAATTTACCTTCCAATACTATTTAATTAGCTAAAGAAACGTTAATATTCGATTTATAAATAATACATGTACTGACAAAAATATCACCCTGATCTCATGAAAATCAAAAGTACTCGATAAATACTTAATTTTGAGGTTAGTCACCAAAAAATCTTCTAAATGGTGACTGGGTAAAAAAAAAATATAGTGAATTTACGAAAATTTTTGTACAATTTAATGTTAGTGTGTAACACTTGATACCTTTTTCCCAGGTACCTGCCAATGGGAATTTCCCATTGCACATTTGTTAAGCAATTTGTGAGCTTTGCCTAGTGTCTATCTATTAGTAATAGGGTTACAAATTTGTAAAGTTAAACAGGTGACAGCAATAGTTCGGCAAATTACAAGATATTATATTTTTGTGTGTGTATGTTTAAGAAAAAATTATCTCGTGGATAGCGTAATTTCAGACTTTATCTATATGAACATTATCGAATCGGTATCCCATCAAAGGTTTAAGACGTTCTAGGTATGTCCATTTGTCCGTTAGAATAATTACAAGGTATAAACATTGACAGCTAGGGGCCTTGATCTTGTAAAAATAATAACTTAGTATTGGTTGCTAATTAAAAGTAAGGGATATCGTATCAACTGATCAAATACAGATACATGTATACGTCTCTCTGTCTTTCGTTTAAATTCAAAGAGAAGGAGTTGAGGGATGGAATGTTTCTCGAATATTAGTTAGTTAGTTGGTTAGTTAGTTAGTTAGTTAGTTAGTTAGTTAGTTAGTTAGTTAGTTAGTTAGTTAGTCAGTTAGTTAGTTAGTTAGTTAGTTAGTTAGTTAGTTAGTTAGTTAGTTAGTTAGTTAGTTAGTTAGTTAGTTAGTTAGTTAGTAGTTAGTTAGTTAGTTAGTTAGTTAGTTAGTTAGTTAGTTAGTTAGTTAGTTAGTTAGTTAGTTAGTTAGTTAGTAGTTAGTTAGTTAGTTAGTTAGTTAGTTAGTTAGTTAGTTAGTTAGTTAGTTAGTTAGTTAGTTAGTTAGTAGTTAGTTAGTTAGTTAGTTAGTAGTTAGTTAGTTAGTTAGTTAGTTAGTTAGTTAGTTAGTTAGTTAGTTAGTTAGTTAGTTAGTTAGTTAGTTAGTAGTTAGTTAGTTAGTTAGTTAGTTAGTTAGTTAGTTAGTTAGTTAGTTAGTTAGTAGTTAGTTAGTTAGTTAGTTAGTTAGTTAGTTAGTTAGTTAGTTAGTTAGTTAGTTAGTTAGTTAGTTAGTTAGTTAGTTAGTTAGTTAGTTAGTTAGTTAGTTAGTTAGTTAGTTAGTTAGTTAGTTAGTTAGTTAGTTAGTTAGTTAGTTAGTTAGTTAGTTAGTTAGTTAGTTAGTTAGTTAGTTAGTTAGTTAGTTAGTTAGTTAGTTAGTTAGTTAGTTAGTTAGTTAGTAGTTAGTTAGTTAGTTAGTTAGTTAGTTAGTAGTTAGTTAGTTAGTTAGTAGTTAGTTAGTTAGTTAGTTAGTTAGTAGTTAGTTAGTTAGTTAGTTAGTTAGTTAGTTAGTAGTTAGTAGTTAGTTAGTTAGTTAGTTAGTTAGTTAGCTTAGTTAGTTAGTTAGTAGTAGTTAGTTAGTTAGTTAGTTAGTTAGTAGTAGTTAGTTAGTTTAGTTAGTTAGTTCGTTAGTTAGTTAGTTAGTTAGTTAGTTACTTAGCTTTACTTAGGTTAGTTAGTGCATATCCCACGGAGGCACGCTAGAACTGTTAATAATTATACCAAAATTACAAACTAATTGAACAATGTACCGGAAGTAGAGTCAGCCCGGATCTCAACTTGTAGGGTCAGTTGATTTCGTGTTTTGACAAGTGTTTCTACTCATATCTGGTGCCTCGGCTATTGGTTAGATCTCTTCAAGGTACCTGTTTGTGGCTGTGGTTGCAGGTTTAAAATGTGTTGATTCGGCGATATTTCCCCTACTTTGTCGGCGCCTATATTGTAATTGTTGTTCATGGGGCCTGGGGCTACTATGACAAGAGATCTGATAGCTCAGTATTCTGTTTAATGAAAACCCGTTTTTATGGAAGCTTTACAATTCTCTAGCTTTTTCGGTATTGTGGCTAGTGATTTAAAATTATTCGATTTTTAAAGTAATTTTAAGTAGATTTACTTCGTCGGGCAGGTATGGGCAATTGAAGAGACAGAGTTTTTTTAATAATAAGGATTATTACTTTCTGTTTCTTAAAGAAAACTTTGCTAACTATTATTACACGTAATTTTAAATAAATCAATAATTTTTTCTATTTTCTGCTTTATTTTCAGCTTTTACTCCTTAACAAGTGTTAATAAATAATTAATTGGCTTAAGAAATTCTAAAAAAATCAATATAAAAATATAAATTATTAAATTTAATCATCATTATACTAGTAGCACACCCACCCAAAATTAATAAAAAAAATTTAAAAATAAAATGTACAAATAAACTAAACTACAAATTAAACAAAAAATACAAAAGAAATTTAAATAATTTCCATTTAAATTTTTGTGTTTAGGAAATAACTCAAAAATTACATTACAACGAGTTGATTTCCTTAAAAAAAAAAATTCCCCCAAAAAATAATAAATAAATATTCATTCTATCAACAAACCCCTCACACACCCGAAAAAAATTACTCTTCTACTAATAGTAGGAAAGAAGAAAACAAATTTGTTTATTTGAGGCAAGTGTCTGCATATTAAATACACATGCAACAACATTTGAAGACACTTGCATTGCAGCAACTAAATGTGTTGTAAAATAACCAGACAGACAGCCAGAGTGAGTGTGTGTTAAACTAGCAAGTGGGCATTTTATTTATTCATTTATTTGTTTTTGCTGTTGCTGGAATTTGATTTTGGTTATTTTGATAACGACTACGACGAAAAAGCCCAAACACGGGTGGTGGTGTTGCATTAACGACAACAACAATATCATCATCACCAACAGCAACAACAGCAACAACTGCAATTGCTACAAAATATTAAAAAGCAGCAAACAAAAAAACCCAACTGCAACAAACAGAAAAATATTTATTTATTGTTGTCGTTAAACTTCAATGAGCGTTTCGATGTCACTCGTACAAGGTGGAGCTGCAGGCGGTGCGCCACAAGGTGCTATACTAGCGGCTGCTGCCCCATATTATCAGCCACCAGCAGTACCACAAGATGTTCAACCAGATCGTCCCATTGGTTATGGAGCATTTGGTGTAGTATGGTAAGTTGCAAAATAATGTTTTTTTAAATACTTTTAGTTTAACAAAAACCTGTCGATTTTAAGTAGGTAATTAAAAAATTTAAACCATCCATCGATACTGTTTTACTGTTTAACTCAAATTTCCATTCACGTGTTAAACACAATTTCCGGATGTAATCAAATGTAACATTTTTGTAGTTTTTAGTCAATGTCTGCTTAAAAAGTTTTTTTTTTTGATTTGGAAAATCAAAACGTTCGACTTACAACAAAATATATTCAATATTAACATAAAACCATTAAGGAGTTTAAGAAAAACCATCGGATAAGTGTAAAAAGTTTACCTAAATCTTAGATAAATTATACAAGTTAATATTTTTCCTAAAACTTTGGCAAAGCTTTCCTGATGAGCTGTTGACCGATTATCATGTGTATAAAAACAATTTTCAAAGATTGCCTAGATTTAGATTTAAAGGTTTTTAAAAGATGCTAAGGACTTTCCAAGTTCGAACGATCTATGTAATTTGCACTTGCTTACACCTCAAATGATCATGAGTCTTTTAGTTCTTGATCGAAATCGGATTGCTTTTTTAGATAATTCCCTATGATATCTTAATAGAAGTCACACTCGTTGTCTTTAATGTCTCCAAATTGGGCGAAGAGCTTCACTTATTTCCGAACGAACTTCTTTTTTGAATCCCCAAATGATCCTTTACAAAAGGATCAGCTTTAAAATCAATATTAAAACTACAAAACTTCAAAACTTCGAATCCAATATCCAAAACTACGAAACTGACAAATATTCAAAGTGAACAAGTGGAACCCTTGATATATCAATGAAATATAGGACTTGTCTTGATTTTATATATATATATCACGAAAATGTTTCGAAAACGTGTTGATATCCGTCCGAAACTTCTCTATGCTGACTCCTACCTTAATATTCGATTGTAATGCCCAATCATAAGTTTCTATCTTCGCTATGGAGAGTGCAATGTGTTAACTATTGAATGAGCGGAAACCTACATTCTCCTTAAAAGCCTCTGCGCTAAAAGTCATTCACCGCTATCGCTAATAGAAGTGAAATTTTCATTCCCCTAGAAGGGAAAATTACTATCGTGAACTTATTGTGAACAATTCATTCACAATAGTTTGATTTTGTATGCAACAGCTGTTCGATGTTTAAAAAATTCCATCAACAGGGGAATTTTTTTTTCACGAGAAAAAAGTTAGTGAACCAAAAAAAGGTGAAAAGGGAACATATTTCACGTGAAATGTTGATTGGCGATAGGGGTGATTCACTCTTTGGGGGTGTTTCCTTAGATTGAGACAGTAAACTCTTGATTGAAACTGAGACTTCTAGGCCTCTTGTTACCAGATGTGTTAAGGATGATTCGTCAGTCCGAACATCAAGTTCTCAGCGGTGATTCCTAGATCTCATGACTTTAGTTGTAATAAGTCTTTGACTTCAAACTCCATATCTTCCAGTGTTCGGTAAGCTATTCTACCAATTTAACTGAATTCTCTCTCCTACAAACGCCATCTATCAAGGTGGAATAGTTCAACAAAAAGATTATTTGGAAGATTAATTGTTTAGCAAGTTTTACAGAGTAGTGACTTGAACCACTTCTTATATTATTGGATGACATCTTGGAGGAACTATTATCTACATGTCATGTGTTGATTCACCAGATCCATGGCACATAAATGCTTCTTTTGACACTAGAGGATCAATAGGTGGATTAAGTTTAAACTTTCTCTGGGTTGAAAGTCATTCAGTCCTCTGGGGGTTTTTCTTAGATTGAGACCGTAAACGTCCGGCTGAAACTGAGACTCCTAGACCTTTTGCTACCAGAATGCTGTAGTAGGAATTCGTTAGTACTATTTTGCAAAACCGAACATCAAGTTCTTAGCAGTTCGGAGGTTCCTAGACTCCAATGTGTTAAGTCTGTAACTTCAAAGTCCATATCTTCCGGTAATGGGTAACCTATTGTACCAATCTAACTGAATTTACTCTCCTGCAAATGCTCTCTTGGTTGAAAGTCCTTTAGTCCTCGGGGGTGTTTCCTTAGATTAAGGCCGTAAACTCCTAGGCCTCTTGTTACCAGATGTGTTAAGAATGTGGTAGGAATGCGTCAGTCCTATTTAGCAAAACCGAACATCAAGTTCTTAGCAGTTCGGAGGTTCCTAGACCTCATGTCTTTAGTTGTAATAAGTCTATATCTTGCAGTAATGCGTAACCTATTCCACCAATATAACTGAATTCTCTCTCCTGCAAATGCCATCTATGAAGGTGGCGATCAATAGTTTAGCAAGTTTTACAAATACTATTCATTAGGGTAGTGTCAATGGTTTGATAAGTCTTATATTCTTGGAAAAAATCATGAAAAAACCATTATCTTCAGGGCATGTGTTGATTCAGAAGATTCGTGGCACATAAACGCTTCTTTAGACACTTGAGGAACTATTGGTGGATGAAGTTTAATGTGAAACTAAAAGAGCTGTTGGGTTTTGGGGACAATATTCAAACGTGTGGTAACGATGGTAGGCTTCCGGACGATGTTTACTTGATTGACGTTGCGAATAAAGATTGATTAAAAAGGCTGTAGGAAGGACAGGCGGTTATTTTCTAGGCTTTGGTTAGGGTTTGTGGCAGTCGTCTGCTGAACAATAGGAGGTAGAGAAGCATTATTGCCCAAATAAGTGAAAATATGCCGAAATATAATTTTAACAGAGTTTTTCAAAACAAATCATTTCATACCTTAACTCACCTGCCTCTTCTAACCATTGAGTAAGTAAGTGTTAAAGACCCTACCAAACAAGAAGCTAAAAGGCATCATTGCAATAAAGCTGTAAAAAAAAACTTTAAGGTGAGCAAAACAACAAAACTAAGCTAAAAGTATCGAAAACCTTAAGGCAAAAAAAAAAAAACAGCAACTGCAAAAAAAAGTTACGTTGATTTTGTGCAGGCAAGTTAAAAACAGAAACAAAAGCTCAAATAAACTAAAGCCCCCCAAAACAAAACGTATAAACTTACTCGTACTCCAATGAAAATACAATGAACCTTAAAATCCAAAAAATAAAGCAAAAACAGAAAAACAGTGCAAAAACAATATTACGTGAGGGACATTTCAATTTAGTTGATTTTGAGCTTTCAGAATATAATTTGATTGTGTAATATACAAATCTATACTCTTCGATCGTCAAGCGCGCAACACTGAACTTTAGAACGTTCTTAGCTATATTTTAATTTCTTACAATTGTCTTGAGTATGAGCCAAAGTCTAAAGGAAAATAAATTTTCTTGAGCTTTTGCTAGATCTTGCCTTGGGCTATAATCCTTAACCTTACCATACCTTTAAACTTCTGTTTTCAGAATTGCTTTGGTGTTAAACGCAGCAAAATATAAAAACACTAAAATCATGTTTTATGTTGCAATAATGAAATAAATTTTAAGATCATCATTGTCATACTACAGCCGTTCCATACTGCTACTACACCACTACCTTAAACAATACACTGCTGCTTCTTCCACTTACTCTGCAGTTTCATTGTATTTTTATTTTTGTTTCCTCTTCTCTACTTTTCGCTTCCCCATACTGCTACTGCTTCTTTTTTTTCTTATTCTTTATTGTATTCTTTAGTTTTATCATGACACCGTGTTCTCGGTTCAGGGCTCATACCCAAAAGAAAATCAGCTTAAAATAAATAAAATAAAGAATCAACCAACAACCACTTAAAGAGTTTTAATAAGAAGACGTTGAAAAAAAAAAAACTTAAACATTTATTATAAACAAACTACCTGCAACTGGTTTTGCATTTTCTTTATTTTTCTTTTTATAATTCTGAAGTTGCGGAACCAGTGAACATTTGGGAGTTGATGAATAATCTCGATTAATCTCGATTATTTTTGTTAAACCCAAGTCAAATGTGATCAAAATTTAGACAAAAGTAAAATCTGGACTCTGGACCATATACTAAACTATAGTCTGGACTATAGACTATAGTCAGGACTGTAGAATACACTGTAGTCTGGACAATAGACTATAGTCTGGACTATAAAGTATACTATAGTCGGGACTGTAGAGTATACTATAGTCTGAACTATAGAGTATACTATAGTCTGGACTATAGAGTATACTTTAGTCTAGACTATAGAGTATACTATAGTCTGGACTATAGAGTATACTATAGTCTGAACTATAGAGTATACTATAGTCTGGACTATAGAGTATACTATAGTCTGGACTATAAAGTAGACTATAGTCTGGACTATAGAGTAGACTATAGTCTGGACTATACAGTAGACTATAGTCTGGACTATAGAGTAGACTATAGTCTGGACTATAGAGTAGACTATAGTCTGGACTATAGAGTAGACTATAGTCTGGACTATAGAGTAGAATACAGTCTGGACTATAGAGTAGACTATAGTCCGGACTATAGCTGTAGAATATAGTCTAGACTATATAGTATACTATAGTCTGGACTATAGACTAAACTATAGTCTGGACTATGGAGTATACTATAGTCTGGACTATAGAGTAGACTATAGTCTGGACTATAGAGTAGAATATAGTCTGGACTATAGAGTAGAATATAGTCTGGACTATAGAGTAGAATATAGTCTGGACTATAGAGTAGAATATAGTCTGGACTATAGAGTAGACCGTAGTCTGGATTATTGAGTAGACTGCAGTCTGGACTATAGAGTAGACTGTAGTCTGGAAACTATAGAGGAGACTATAGTTTGGACCATAGAGTAGACTATAGTCTGGACTAGAGTAGACTATAGTCTGGACTATAGAGTAGACTATAGTCTGGACTATAGAGTAGACTATAGTCTGGACTATAGAGTAGACTATAGTCTGGACTATAGAGTAGACTATAGTCTGGACTATAGAGTAGACTATAGTCTGGACTATAGAGTAGACTATAGTCTGGACTATAGAGTAGACTGTAATCTGGACTATAGAGTAGACTATAGTCTGGACTATAGAGTAGACTATAGTTTGGACTATAAAA